GCACGTGGCTCGCAAGGAAAATATTTGCTCAGCAGTCGTTTTCACAGGAATCTGGGATGTTAATTTGAACAGGCTGCCGGGAGGAGGAGGATGACAATGAAGGCTTTCAGTGGGTCAGCGAGTCCCCAGCGGGGATCTGGGTCTGCCCACGGCTCTCTCTGCCCGACACCTTGTCCCAGGCCCACCGAGGGAGGAGAGGTGGCAAACGGGCAGGAGCTGGCACCGGTGGGCTGCCACCAGGTCTAAGCAGGAAAGTTCAGCCTTTGCCGCTTGGCTCCCTGCATACAAAGTGGACTTCCAGACCCTGGCTTTCCGGTTGCATCGCCTCCTGTCCCTGTTCGAGGTGTCTTCCACCCGTTTTCTGATATCTGGGCGGGTCGGGTTCAAAGTAACCGCACGGGGTCTCTGCGCTGGAAAAGGCGCCCGTTCTGGCTGCGCCGGGGCGGCTCGGTGGCGTTTACGATTGCAGCGCCCGCATCGTCTCCTTCTCAGCCCTGGTGCCGTTTGTCCATCTGAGCGGTTGGGCCGAGAGCTCTCTGTGTTTTGACGTGGCCGGGTTGTGGCTGCCGCCTGGAGGGCTGTGGCAGGTTCCTCGCTTGGGCTGGTTGGGATAACCCCCCCTCCTTTCGGATGATGCCCTTGCAGGGCCTGCTCAGGGCTTGGCTTTTTGGCAAAGGTTTCCTGCCTCCCGACTGAGACGGAGGCCATTGACCGGCCGTGAGCTGCCCTGGGAATAAACACAGGCCTAGAAATCCCCTCCTTGGCCAAGTTGGCCCTCCCCAGGCCTGCCAAACGACAACCCCACAGTTTCCAGCCAGCATGGATGGTGGAGGATGATGGTTGCTGTAGTCCACCGCTCCTAGAGGGCACCAACTTGGCAGATCCTGGTCTGGGGCCAGACATGCTCTGGGATGGTAGTGAGAGGTTGCTTTGTTATCACAGGAAGTTATCCCCGTTTTGCAGTGGGTCGCGGAAGGGCCACGGCTTAGTCAAGGGAGTGTGGCATAAAAGGAAAAGCCCAGCCCTGTGGTTCGGGAGCAAAGCCCCAAAGCAATGTGGTTGGGCACCTCCTCGCTTCCAGCAGGAAAATACTCTCAGCGGCCAACTTTTGGGTCTCACAGGGCTCTTCAGGAGGAGGTGAGGAGAAAACAGACCCATCTGAAGGTCCAGGCTGGATGTGGGAGTGATGGGACCTGGAAAGGGAGAAGGAGCGGGCCTGTTGGCTTTGTCTCTCAGCTTTGGGGACGTGAGACCCGTCGCCTCCCGGGCCCTCCAAAGGGGGAGGTGGTTGCTGGGGGCGTTCGTAACACAGAGAGCAGACTGGTTTGTTGTTGGTGTTGGGGTTTTTTGGGGGGGGGATGGGGTCAGAGGCACTCAGAAACATGACAAACCCTGGGTCAGAAAATCTGGAGATTCAAAGTAGGTGACCCACTTTGGAAACCAAAAGGAAGGGTTACCTGGTGCCCGGAGGTGGGTGGGGTACCCTATGTTGTGCTTAGAGAGCAGGACAACTCAGGTCGCCTGCCCCCCCGCTTCTCTTGACAAGCAGTGAGAGGGAGAAAAGCCTCCTTCCCTCTCCTTGAATGGCAAAACTGGGAAGGAGGGGGCGGCGAGGGTTTTTTTTCAGAGGCTTTGGAAGCAATTCGGAACGACCTGCTTAATGAAAGCCATGTGGTGGGGCTCGGCTGATCCGTGGCAGCCGGCAGGCCAGGCGGGGAAGGGAAGGGAAGGGAAGGGAAGGGGGAGGGAGGAGCTGCTTTGGACCCTTGGCCGGCCCCGGCCAGCCAGCCAGCCAGCCAGCGGCTGAGGCAGCAATGGGAGGCAGCTGTGTCAACAGGGCTCCGGGTGTGCTCCAGCAGCCCAGCGAGCAAGTGCCAAGGGCGCCCAAGCTCAACCCAGCCAAAGAAAGTTCTGGGAGGACGTGGCTCATGCCTGGCCGCCTTATATCGGGGTGGGGTGGGGTGGGGGGTGCTGTAGAGTATATCTTTTCCTGCTCCGTCTAGGGAAACCTCCCACAGCTCTCCCTCCGCCAGCAGAAGGGAGAAGGGCTGGGGGGGGGAATGCAGCAGAGCCAAAGCGGGCTGGCTGTGGCCCTCCCACTGCTCCTTCCTTGGGCAACCTGTCTCTCCCCCCCCAACCCCAACTTGCAAACTTCTCTTCCTTAAGGGTTGCGAGGGGGTCTCCCTGCTTGTCTCATTGCACCCCCTTCCTGGATGCTTCCTTCGCTGTCCCTGCCTGTCACCCCACTTCTCCCCCACCCGCCCTTCTCTCACACACCGACACCCACGAGCTGTACAAACACTTTATTTTTGTACAAAAGGATTCGTAGCCGTTTTGTTTTGTTTTGCTTTTTTAAAAAAAGTACCTTAGCATTAGAGGGGAGGAAGGAAAAAAAAGGAAAAGAAACATTTCCCAGAAGAAATGGGAAATGATCCTGCATTATAAATATTCTCTCTAGAGGAACGTCCGCAAAGCTTTCCTCCCAAGGAGCTCACCCAGAGAGCTCTCTCTCCGGATTCTGCCTCCGAGGGTCCCGGTCCTTCATTTGTACTTCATATGCGGTTGCCCCAGCAGGCCTGGGACT